GTCGTGTAGAGAAACCTGGCCGGTCAAAGACCTCAACTTCCAATCCCTCGTGGCAAGGCATTGATGGTCTAGAATACTGGTGCGGTTTCATCACAAGGTGGAAAGGCCAGGCCAGACTTTGTTTTTGGCATGTAAACAGTGTTGCACCAAACGACTGTTCCGCTACCCCTCTCTCACTCCGAGATAAGCTGTCCTTCGTGTGACGCTGTTGTCAAGCGTGAAGATTCTTTTTCTGAAGCTCAAGCCCAGTGGGCTACCAAAAAAGAAAGAGCACATTTTCAAGCCGGTCTTATATCTCGATAGTCTCATGCCATCTTATGCCAGTCTTCGGACTCTCCCTCATGGCTGAAGACGGAAAGAATAGCAATACCTAGCCGTGCAAGTCCGCAACTCCGGGCTGGACCAATTGTGGCACCCGGGGAGAAAAGAAGATGGTTGTCTCTTAAGACTTAGGCTCATCGTCCATCTTCCTCCCCGGCCCGTTGGAGGAGAACCAAGGCACGGCAGGATCTGGTGGTGGTGTGTGTGCGCGTGTGAGTGCGAGCCTTTTGGTGTCGTCGATGGTGGTTTACTGTGTTAGTGATTTCTCGCCTTGTTAAGCTAGGATGGTTGGGCTGCGTTGGTTCCGACCAGCAAGGGTTTTCCTCTCGCGGGAAGCGCCTCTCGAACCGGACTGTTGGGAAACTTCAGTCGTTGAGTGTGAGACTCAACGTACGGCAGCAACATTACCATGAAGGGGCTTTTTCGCGTGTTCCTGTTTCTGTGATAAGGGTGATACGGCAGATATGGATTACAGTCTGATATTGTGTAACAGCGGACTCTACATGCAGACAAAAACAAACACAACCAATAACCCAAGATATCACCATGGTCACCGCGAGGTCCCGGCTACCTGCCCGCGGCGCCTCCATCTCACTCTTGCAGGCGCTACGGAGATATTATTCCCTTCCTCATCTGCGAAAACCAGAGAGAGGAAAGAAACTCCCCGAAATAGGGGTCCGGGCGGGTTGATCCATCACCAACACCCGCCCGCTGCCGGCAGACAGTAGACGCAGGTATCACGGCGTCTGGGCTGGCCTGGACTGGGCTGGGACTGGGCTTGCTTCCCGCCTTACACACACACACACACATCTCATTTTCGTGGCACGGGGACGGCGTCTGGACGGCCTGGGAGGGGAGAGTGAGTGTGTATATGATGTGGTGACCCTTGGACGCCCCCTCCCATCCTCCCATCGGGGAATAACGCATATACGTACATACATTAAACTCAAGGGACGAACGATAGTAGGCGCGATATCATGGAGGAGTAGGTAGGGGGAGGGGGTGTTCACGCTTGAGAATCTGGAGCGCCTCTATGGGAGAGAGTATTGGACGGAAAACCAGCTCAACAGTGACAAGAACTACGTAGCCACGGTAGTCAAAGATTGGGCTGCCTCCTAAGGGAAATTCTTTCCCACAAAAAAAAGACCCGCATCACGACTACTTGGTGGTTGTCGAAAAGGCTTCAGTTATTCTGCGGCCCCCGGCTCATCGTGAAGCATGGAACCCCCGGCCCGCGGACAAGACCGAACAGAAAAAGATTCTGCCTCCAGCCAGACAAGCCTCCATGTGGTTGCGGTAGTGTACTGTGTAATACGGATACCACTGGAGAATCAAACCTTCTTTCTCGTCTCCGATGTAACGGTGAAAAAAACACTTGGGCCCAGCTGCTGCTGCTGCTGCTGGTGGACCCAGAGTGCCTGAGCACGACTTCGCATTCAAGCGGCGGTCTGGGAAACGAAGAAAAGAAAGAATAAGGAGAACAGCCCTGGGGTTCCTGGGACTGACGCAGGATCTACGCTGCAGGGAGACCCGGAGAGCGAAGGAAGAACGAATGCGCGAGAATCCAAGAGAGAGGAACCTTGGAAAATAGAGTAAGAGTAGCGAATACAGAAAGGTGAGGCTTGTGTCATTGCGTAATTCCGTCTGTCCTGGCAGATCGTGACATCGTTTCGTTCCCGTCGAGAGACCTATGTAGTTGCCTACGGATTACCTACGGAGTTACCAGGTATCATTGCCTATCCCTTCTGCATTTTCTCAGTGAGATCATGGCACGCATGGATGATGGAAGCACTGGATCTCGTGGATCACTCTCTGTCATCTGTCTTCCTGACCCCCCAAGCCCCTCCCCTTCCCCCCTCGCAGGCACGCAGACTGAGAGAAGAGACCGGGATTTGGCACATCGTGTTTGATATGTCGATCATTATTGACCTCCCAGAGAAGTCCCACGGGTGACGGCTCACCTTTGACGTAGCATCGGATCTACAAGACGGGTAGCCATAATTCCTCATCAGTGGATAGGACAGGGGGAAACCTGCCGCAGACCGCAGGCCGCCGACCGTACGTACGGACGTGACGGAGTACGGAGTAGACGATGGCGACGGGGATTGGGGAGGGGATTCAGTATCCGTACTGCGAAAAATTCGGTATAATACTTCCAGGGCCAGGGGGGGGAGGGATAGAGTGACTGATGAGCCCATGGGCCTGTCTTGTCCCCCCGTCCTCAGCTCTCCACACGTCGATACGCCAAACCCATTTTGGAAAGCCTGCATACTGGTACTAGGACAATCTCCCGCCGGCCAACCTATCACGATGAGCAAAAAAAAAAGGGCAGACGAAAGTCGGGAGTCGGAAAGGGTTGTTTTTGCAAACGGGGGTAGCGCCGATTGGTAAGAGATGCGAATTTCTTCCCCTTTGGTTTCTTTCCACATCTCCCATCCCTTACCTGATATTGCTGGCTCTCCGAGATAGTGGTCCGAAAGAGGAGCAGCGGACGACTGAATGCAGTTCCCTTTGCGCGATTGTGATGCTCTCTCCATTCAGCCTGAGTGATGGGACGATAACGAATCGTCTAATGTCGAGTAAGTAGGTACATGTTTGGATGAATTTGCGGGGGGTGCTTGCGAGCGTGGACGTTTTGGCCGAACGTATCCCAATTACATGCTTTTTCACAACGGGTGAGACCTGATGGAGGAGCCAATCGCAGGTAGCGCGTAATTGTCTTCAACGACACTCCATCATCTTTTTGCTTCCCCTGTCTGTCAGGGCATAAAAACGTCAGGTAGCCATTTGACGTCCATTCGACGGTCCAGGCCAGGCCCTCTCCCCGCTGTGTCCCCCCCCGCCCCAAGAGATTGAGATCACAGAAGCCGTGGGCACCGATCTTATTTCTTTTCTTTTTCCTCCACGGAGACTGGAGTATCCGTACTGTATGTGCATGCTCGCGCGCCCACTTTCGTCAAGCTATGCATGCCCATGATCTCGTACTCCAAGTACTGTGGAATAATGAAGATGGGCGAGACTTTGCAATGGCCAAGGCACGCTTGGCAGGGAACTGGGGGCATTCCGCGGAAGGTTTGGAACGGGGTTGAAGCCTGTACGACAGTGCCGTAGGTTCGTCCATTTGGTAGTGTAGTCGTAGTAAGGCCGAGGGGAAGGAGAAAAAAGGGATCCGCTCTCCATGTGAACGAAGCCCAAGCCAAGAAGGTTCAGTGAATTTCAGGCCAAACCGGATTCGGTATACGACGGTTAGTGGGAGGGGGGGTCCTTTACTGCGTAGATGCCGCACCTGGTAGTGGAGTGTGAAGGGCCAAGGGACTGACAACCTTACCTTGGTTTTCAGAACTCTGGGCGGGCAAGGCATAGGCATGCATGGTCTGTCCGGGTCTCGTTAGCAAGCGGCTCCAAGTGCCATAGCGCCTAGGGGTATATCCAGATCCATTGTATGTAGAGGACAACCTGGCTTGCCTGGATCACCACTGTCCGCTGTCGTAGTGTAGTGTGGTACTGTGATGGAGGTCGGTCAAGATGCAATGTATGTGGTGCAGTAGGCGAGGCTTTCTCTGGGAGAGCATGAAGCAGCGGGGGAATGTGTGCCTTGCGGTCCCCGCTCTTTTCTTGCGTAGTGAACTGTGTAAGGCATCTGTGGACGGCAGGGGAGACGCTTGTGCTGCGTGTGTTCGGAGTTTATCTCATTTGGGGTTAAAGATAGAAACCTTGATTTGACGCGTGGTGGGGACGTTTCTTTCATTCTTTCTTGCTGCCTCGTTCAAGTCAGTACGTACCGAGTCACAATTTCGCAGTCTTGTTCCGTCTCCACTTGCCCGCACAACAGTACGTACCGCTGTCTCTCACGTGTTCCGCACCGCTTCTTCGTCTTCCACACCCCCCCTTTCTCTCTCCCCGCCCCGACCATGATCCACAACTTGCACTCTCACAAGCCCCACTCCTTTCATTTCTATGTCTTTTCTCCTCTTGCTCTTGTTAGTGGCACCGAACAAGTGGGCACTAGATTGTTAACTTGTTATGGAAGGGAGTATGGGCAGAGATGCCGTGCCTGTCTTACCAAATACTGCTAATTACTCCTCTCCATCTCTCTGCAAGGGCCATGAAACATCAAGGACATGATCGGTCTGGGAACGGCTTCGGTCCTGAGCCAGACGTCTATGGCTTGATATCCTGGCAGTTCTTCATAGATTAGCCAGACACATTCATAACAGGGTCTCCCAGCTCTCCCCTCATATCCATGGCCTTGGGCCCTCTAGCGAAGCTTTGAGGCGAAAGCCTCCGCGTGTGGTCTGGTCCTGGCCCCCAAATGGAAGAAACAACGGCCAACTCACAGCGAGTTGGTGGTGGCAAGCGCATCGTGCTTCAAAGGAATGCCTACAGGACACGGCTCTGCACGCAGGTACTGTTGTCTGTAGACTGTCAACAACCGACTCTCACACCCCAGAGTTGAATCGTCGTCCCAGGAGTCTGGTCCATCATCTACTTTGGCAGGCCTGGCAAGCCGTAAGCCTGGAGGCAGATGCCGCCAGTCCGCCACAAGCCATTGCGGCACGGGCAAAACCGTTGATTTTGCCATACACTAGCAAACCCCCCAGACCATCACGCAGTATCGCGCCGTCGTCGCCCTAGCCCAGTAGAGGCCCAGACTAGACTTGGCCGACGTCGCAACCTGCTCAGGCGTGGTGATGGTCTGTGTAACAGTCTTGGGCCCTTGGAGGGCAGAAGACAAGGCCCACGGGTCGATGCTTGGCTCGAGTCTTCAAATCGCTAGCATCCTCCCGCCCCGCCGTGCCCGCTTCCCTTCCCACACTTCCCCGACGCACCAAGACAGCCCGCCCCAAGCCGTTTTGGGCCTGGGCTCCCTTGTCATTCTCGTTTACTATTACTGTATTCGTCGCAAGCGTCCTCAGCATCGACTTGGTAAGGCCAAACCCTGCAATATGAGATCTGCGGAATCCAGAGAAACGGGTCCTGCAAACACACGGCTCGATTTGCTGCCCAAAGCCCTGGTGTTCATCTTCCCCCTCTTGTCTCGCACGTCTGGGTGGGTGCAGCGTGTATGGAAAAGAAAACATGGGTAAAAATGATCCCCAGGGCAGGCAACTTGGGCCCCTGGCTAGCGTAATTTTGCTGTACAAAGCCTGCATCTCGTCTATTCGACACAGAAAAGCAACCACGGTCGAAATGCTGCTGCCTTGAGAGACATCAAGGCCGGCTCTGGGCCCTGGCAGCTCGTGACCCCGCCCGCGTTTATGACATCCGCATGACCCGTGTGGATCATGATAGTGACAAGAGACTGAAAGTCGACGAGGAGTCGAGAATCGAGACATGCCTGCAATCGTCTTTTCTTCAGTCATGAGGTGCCGCGACGGCAGTTCATAGTTCGTATACGGATAGACAGGCATGAGGGATGCGTCCAACCCTGCGGTAGGTATCAGTATGGAGTATGGAGTACGGAGTTACTGTTTGATTTTGTCGGGAAACGAGACACCCAACCTTTCTTTGTCTGCCAATGCTTCTGCTCGAAGAATGCGAACCCGCCAATCCGAGTCGATATCCCATCGGATGCGAGCCATTGGCCGGCAGCGGCCAGGTATGCAGTGTTGCCCCGGGCCGTGGACAATATTGAAGCTTCTGACTTGGGTGTAACGACTCGACGTGACGACGACAACGACAACCGACTCAATAAAAACGCCTCAGTTCCTAGAAAAGGTCGGGTTTAGCAAGTGAAGGATGGGTATTTGAAACGTTGGCATGGATATTTGAAATGGCAACCAACGACCGAATCTCTGCGGGCCCAAGTCTCAGCCATCCGATGAGGCAGTCGCCAGTCTAGCCAACGTCGTCGACATTCGAGAACCACACAAGCTTCAACGGTTGTCGGTGGCATCGTGGATCGTGGAGTTCCACCCTATGACCCTAGGAGAGCACTGTTGGGCTAGGTACTTCATAGTGTATGGTGACTGATTATTGACTGAGCAGTGAACAGGTTGAGGCTTGAGGATGAGGAATGTGACTCCGTAGGACACGGAATGACGGTGGATGGGTCTCTCATTCCGCGGTATTGAGGAAACGGAACTACATTGGCGTCTTCTGATTCGTTCGTCTCCATTTATAATGGAGACAGACAGTACGTATCCGAAATATCTCCCTGTGTGAGGTCTGTGAGAGGTCTCTGATAGGTCCATGAGGCATAGTCCCCACCTGCTGCTATTCTGTTCGGCGACGCCGATCCCAGGAACCTTAATCATCGATCGTCGCTTCATCAACCAATGAAAACTGTCCATTGCAAGGTCCAATAAAAAACGCTGTTCTCTTCCCGCGTTCCGCCGTCACCGCCGTCACCGCCAGGTGAGTGACGCTGCAATGGAAATCACGACAGGGAATCCACCGTACTGCCGCCCCGCAGAATGCGAGATGTAACCCAGAACCATTGAAGAATGCTGGCAACAATGACGATGCTTCTGAGAAGGTCTTGGAGTCTTGTGTGAGGGCCATGGAGCACTTCTTCCGTCTGCGTGGACTCGGTACTCAGGTGTGCGCAAATTCTCACAGTCGACCGACGTTTGGGGTCTTGTGTCTTTTGGCATAAGACAACCTACCTTACCTTGGGCCGGGGAAGGGGTTCAGTCTGATAATCGAAAGGTTGGGGCTCAGGCCGTCCTAACTTCTGAGCAGGTATCAAACTGACTGAACCCGCATTCCCGTCATGTTTGGTCTCGACCCCCATGGGCCATGGGTGTTCAGTCAATTTCCAACTACTATGTCCACGGCAGACTGGAGAGACTCTGGTAATTGCGTACGGAGTTCTGTGTTGCATGGCAAAGTAAAGCCCGTACGGACGGAGTGAGGTAGCATTGTGGACATCACCAGTCGGATCTCCAATCTGTACACCTTAGTTCATGGTGAAGTTGTCCGTACCTGCCGTACCTACGGCCTGCCAGTCAGGGGAGGAAAGTCGAGGGTGAGGCTATCGCACAGCTTGCCGAATTAGGAAATGCTCTGGTCCGTGCGAAGCACCCCTCCCTTCCAATGTCTCCACCGTGGTACCGACGACCCTTGCGCTGTTCGTCCCTGCACCTGCCTGCCTGTCGTCCCGTCCGTCTCGTCCCAAGCATTCGGATGATGGGTGTCGGTGTCTCTGCATGCTGTGGCCCAACCCTGTGCTTCCGTTTGTGCCTCACCTCCGCATCTTGGCTAGTCGGCCAGTGATTCGAGCAAACAACTGCAACGACATGGAAGATGATGCAGGATCGCCCCGTGTCCACATCTGACGCTCGCGACACTTGTCTCTGCCATAGACTGCCCAGTGGCAGTAAAATCTACCACCCCCCGTGCTCCGGCAGGACAAGCGGTTTCGTGGAGAAGCCAATCGCAACGAGAGCAGGAGCTAATTACGGATACTTCTCCCCTCTTCGCTGAGTGGTTGAGAACTTCCATGTCCAAGTAGACATTCGTATGCGTTTAAATACCAGGTATGACAATATCTGAGGCGAGGAAAGAAAGACACACGCCAGATGCCGGGACCTTCCCGCGATGTTCACAAATGGAAGGCAAGGTATCTAGGTACGTTCCGTGCCTAAGGTACCTAGGTACTCCGTAGTTCCCATTACCTCAGCAATTGCACAACGGAAGGCAGTGACTGCGGAGGGAGTACGGTACCTTTGGGAACGACGCAGACGGCGCCTTCCCCCTGATCTCATCCTCCCTGCAATTGCAACCCGACCGTAACTGCAACTGCAAATGCAAATGCGACTGCGACTGCCTGCTGCACTTGAGAGTTTGCCAGCCCGGCGGTGGCTGGCAGACTCAGCCCTATGGATGCTCCCACCTCGCACCTCCCAAGTCCATCCCGATACCCAGTCTTGCGGCTTGCCAGTCTCCCAGATTCCCTAGTGTCATCAGCCACACATGTGCATTCATCAATGCTACTGTGTTACATTGCAGCCTGCTCCTGGGGAGGCCACAACGACAAAATCAGAAAAACGAAGCATCCCAAGAGTCGCAATGGCGCTGGCGTACACGGCAAGGGACCCGGCGGTTCGGATACACAAAAGCATCCATAGTTGGGCTTCAACGCCGACATGGGCATGGCACTACGAGGCCATCTCCATGGTCGTGATCCATCATCCATAATCCCAATCCTACTGCCGATGCAACATTCTGGGGTCAGCCAGAAACATACGACAAAAGATGCGATGCCATGCCGCCCTTGACGCCAATCTCCCATGTGCTCTGCCCCGTCGCGGCTCGCCTTCGTCTACCTTTGCCAGAAGAAGAATGAAACTTCATTTTACAATCCACTGTTCGTTCATGGCCTCGAACCCACCGCCAACATGATGGATTTTCGGCACCATGTACCCTGTCCCAGACAAGCATTGTCCCGGCTCGCCTGAATCGCCATCTGCGCGTACCAGACTTCGACTCGGATGCAGCCCAATCTCTTGGGTCAGTGGACCATCGTCGTCGTCTTGTGTGGGATCGCTCACTTTACGGACTGGTCTAGACTCTAGAGTTTATCGCCAGCCATTGCCAAAGTCGTATTATCGATCCCGCCGAAAGTCGCTTTGCTCCAAAGTACCATACCACGGCACCTGCCATTGCATTGTACGTCTGGTCAAAGTCACTATGATCGTCTCATCCCTTCGGCCCATTCCACCTTGCAGCATTTCTTGCACCCTCGCCAAGCTTGCCGTCTTGCCTTGCCTTGCACGTTGTCGGTCAGTCATGAGATCACTTATGAACCTGATTTTCAATAGAATACGACCCCCCGCACAGCCATGGTTATGCACCGACCAGGCGGCACAGTCGGATGTGGCCAATGCCATTGCAGACGAGGCCACGATTCCGCACACCTACATGCGCAAATCTCACCCACTGATTTCGACGACTCTCTCTGGTTGCCGCAATCGTCACTATCCCGACCCATGCTTCACTGCTGCGCATCCCTCGGGAGCCCACGCCTATGCCTCCCATTCGCTCTTTCCTCACCCCTTGGTCCTGGCTTACCCGGTCAGCACGATCCAAGCGACGGTCCTCGTTGTCTTCGCACGTACTCCACATCATCAACGACCAGTTGAGCAAGAGACCCCTATTTACTACAGATTCAGATTCTACCTCAGACACAACCAATGAAATGACCGGCCCGCGGCGGCATGGAAGGCCGCAATCATCCAACATTGAGCCAGTGCAACGGACGCTAAAGTCTCCGGCGAGGGGACACATCGAGTCGGTTGAACCAATGAAAGCACCAAGTTGGTGCCCGGCGCCATCACCCTCTAACGTGCCATCTCCCTGCGTTCGACTGCAAATTTAAGCGTCTACGTAAAGATTTTGCGACAAACTTTCCGCACGATGAATGCATAACAGCCCCCTGACTACGAGCAGGAGGAGCGTAAACGGAGACTTTGCGAGTTGCAATGATCATTGGGACATTCGACGAAGCCTTAATCGATGTTTTGTTTTTCTTCTTCTTTGGGGCGTGCTGTTGATTCGGTAAGGCTGACCGTCGTCGACTTCTCTAGGCGCAGGCTCGGTTTCCTTGACAGGATGCATGGCGGCGTCGAAAGAACCCGACGCGCGGATTACAGGAAAGGACTGGGCGGCACAGGAGCGGCTTGCGTGCTGCATGCCTCTTTACCCAACGCCGGCCGGCTGGTTATACCTCAAAATGGCGGGATCGCTCCCGTCCGCTGGCTCCACACGAAGACCCTTGAGCTTCAGCAAGCCACCAAACGAAAGCATGCAATGTGTGCGCTCGTAGAACAAGGGGCTTGGGGACTTCTCTGCCCCGTGCTATCAACCACCTTGGTCGAGTCTCACTTACGGGCTGCTTCATTTGAAGCTATGGCACGCGGGTCCAAAGACGAGATGACGCTTGCAACCCGCATCAGCACAGGTGCGCCAAGGAGAAGGAGAGCATGGCAGATTCCGTTTGGCTGGTTCTTGGAGCAATGCAAGTCCCGGCCGGCATACAAGCCCTTCTGACCAAACGTTTTTCGAAATCAGAGACACCAGGCTAACACCATAAGCTCCGGCGAGAATCTTTGGGTCTCGGCGAGCACCACATCCAAGTCGACACGACATCCCTACCTGCGTTGCTCGGAACGAACCTACGCATCCTCGGTGACCAAGAGAGCCGACCGCCAAAGTCAGAATCCCGTAGATACATTTGATCAACCGATAGCGTTATACGGGTCGCAAGGAGCACACATGACGTTGCCATAAACACGAGATGACGGAAGGAATACGCCGTGCAAAGGATGCCACCTACAGATATTCGTACATGCATCATCCTCTGTCCCGCGAGCCAGGCAATATTAGATGCCAATTATCGACATGCTTCCACGTTTGATGACTGCAGGGTTTCTGAGGGACAACAAATCCGGGTCGGTAAGGCGCATCCATGTTCCCAGGAAAACGGGATGGAATCAAGCCGGCCAGTGCAAGGTACCACTACGTGCCACGAGCATGAAACATTGGTGGATGCTCAAGTCACTGAACACTGCCCTCACCCGTCCTAGCATCTGGGTGGCAGCCCTTGGCAAGGTTGGGGTTCATCGGGGCTGGTGAACGACGGCAAGGTTGCACCGCCTCCTGGATTTCTTTTTAAAGATTTTGACTATCTACACGGCAAGGATAGCGGGAGCCGTAAAAGCGCCAATCAGAGGCTTCCAACCAGGGTCTCGGACAGATGAGCCACCGCTACACCTAATCGGGCGACATGTCTCGATGGACGATGTTATCCCACGTTGGCTCTCTACCACAGTACGGTTTTTTTTCGCAGTGCGGAGACAATTCGAGTTCCCCATGGCTTCCATGGGTGCCTCGTGTGAGCTGCCCCGGCCGGCGACCCATGATGCGGAATGCTTTGGTCAGTAGCGCATCGAATCTCGCCAAGCGAAACCACCCTATGCGTGTACGTCTGAATGCGACTGGTATTGCGAACTATGCTTTGGTCAATGTTACTCTCCAGGGCATTAGTGACAACTCAAGAAGCAACATCGTCAAGATTTAGCGACCTCTACGGATATAAGATTGGGAGAGCGTGAGATTGCCCTTGCTCAGCCCGTGCGGCAACGGCCGTAATCCCACGCAGACTAGCGAATTACTTCAATTTCCATCACACTCCTGCGCGCTAGCAAGAAGGCATTGTTTGGTACGCCGGCGGACGATGATGTTCCAATGGTCCGGCTTCACGTCTCGAATTCACCAACCCGATGCGACGCACATAGTTATCCAGGAGCTCGACGTGTCGTACTCTGTGCAGAGGCTTGAGACCGCCGTGGCAAGTCGTCGCGAGGCAACGCCAAAGCAACGAAGCGTGAAAGGCTATCTAGGAACACTGGCTTGCCTGCCACAATGGAGACGAGGCGTTGAATGGCAACAACGTGAATCTTTCCAGAGGTCGGCACTAGTCTTTTGTCTCATCGTGGCCCGGTGCTTGGTGGCATGAGGACTGAGGACGAAAAGAGGCATCTAACCACCAGAACTTTGGTCTCCACCTGCCGCACATACATTTCCCAAGGGGCCGGTTGCACCAAGATCAAGTCTCGGGCTGGGCCATTTCGAACTCTGGCCATCGACTGGATGGAATACGCCTCTAGAGAGCGGTGCCGTGACGTGGTGCCTCTAGCGTGCGATGACTATGACCGAACGGCTCTGGAACCCTTCCAACGTCTGAACCCTTGGACCAGCCAACAAACCCGCCAGCCCGGATTGGCATGGCATCACAGACAAGAGACTCAGTCACGCCGCTTGGGTCGTGGAACTCTATTTGGGCCGTCCCGATTCTTCGAAACTCGATGTTTTTGCCGCGTGTCGTGGCCGGTGGTCGGACGGCTGTTCTCAACGAAGACTTTGAACCACCAGCCCACCTTGTTGTCTCTGCCAGTCGAACATGTACGATGCAAGCTGTCCCGCACACTGGAACTTGGAGGCTTGACAAGATTGAGCTGCCCCGATGCCGTTTTGGGACACGATGCCGCGAACAAGATGCTGACACGCATCGTCGTCCCAAGGAAGGGCGGGAGGAATAGCAACATTAGTGGCCGTCACGAAGACATGGATCGGTACAGATTCTCTCTCCGGCCCGTACATGATCCCATTACCTTTGAGGAGGCACAGGCGCCGTCGTATGGTTCGAGGTCGCTATATCCAGTCAACAGTGCTACCCACACTCCAGGCACCGCCTGGAACAGCGCGATATGGGGTGACTGCAGGACATCCAATGTCATGTCCAACCTCTAAAGGCTTCGACTAATAACTTAGAGGGACGGATAAGGCCGGGCTGTGCACACCAACAAGTCGAAGGCGGGCCCGGCTTGCACACCAAAGTGCTGCCACGGGCTGCAAGCGTGGAGAGAGGCGCGACGCCGTTCATTGGGCCAACTCCCACACTCATGTACAAAATCGCAATGAGAGAGATCCCTGGGCCTGGGATGAAGGAGGCTTGTTCAGCACAGCACGAGCACCCGCAGTGTGCAGTGAGTAAAAATATCCCGCCCCTCAACCACGTCGACACCTTACCTACAGTAAGCAACGCAACACCATATGTGTACCGGCGCGACCTACAGACACAGAGCACAAATACAGACAGACACGTAGAGTGTGGGAGAAAGTACACCGCAGCAGCACCTCCCGCCAGTGCCTCCACAATAACCCGCTCCCCCCTCACTGACGATGAAGCCCGTTTTGGAGTCAAGTTATGCCATTTTGAGGCCAACATGCGGAGTGCCCAAGCTGTTACTGACGCATCTGACGCACACTGGCGAGTTGTTGTCGCCTCAAGATACAACTTTGGCTATTGCTATCCACATTTGGCTCTGAGGTTGGCGAAAGGGGGCTGTGGCTGTTGGACGTGCTTCATGCACACTATTTCCAAGTCAACTTTCTTTTTTTTCGAACCCTCACGTTGCTTTACGTCCGTCAGCATGTGCAGGACCTTGCATATACCGCTTGCTGTTTCCAGGTCCTTGAATTTACAGCACGGTCGAAAGTTGCGAGGCCATTTCGATGTGAGAGTTGATGGGAGAGTGGTACAGGAAGAAGAAAGTTTTGCATAGACCCAGAGACGTACGGATACTTTTGTCATTGTGCAGACCGGGCTCGCGACATGAGCTGCATGTACACTGGCGATCCAATATATCTCCTTGTTCATGGAGGACGAACCAAGGGACGCTGGACGCATGGTCGGCAGCAGAGCGGAAACGGATGATTGAGCCCTACGGAGTAGGCACTTGGTGCAGTGCTTTGCAACCCGGTTGCGGCGACGTCGACACCTCCCACAGCAGACGGGTCAATAGATCCAAATCATACCGACGGCATCCCGCGGCGGCGGAGAGCGACGCCCCCAGCACCACACCTGACTGGCGGGGGAACGGCTCTGCTTTTTCGTACGCTGCCAACAGGCTACCAGACTACGAAGTGAGATACTTACAGCTGCAGACGGAGACTCCCAACTAGGCTCTTGGGCCTGACAAGTTACTATCTGGGAATGCTTCGTACAGCTTCTGCACCTTCGCTGCCTGTCTCATTTGGGGCCCCTGTCAGGTCCCTCGCGTCTACCTACTGGGACAGGACCCGAGAGCACTCGAACGCTCAAGGGGGGTTTAGCCAGATACCAGGGTCTGCACCAGTGGACACAACTTGACCCTGCTCCGCAGGACGACTGTACATGCGAGAAGTATTGTCTACCGTACTTCTCGATGCCAGGGATGTACCAAGGCCCAAGCTGTTGAGAGTCTGGCGGCCCTGGTTAGCACTGGGCCAAGGGGGTGCTGGCTGCCATTCTGTAGCGCGGCAGTGGGTGTGAGGTCAAGTTGTCGGAGGCCACCAGCTTAGCCAGCAAAGTACTGAGTACCAGAGCTATCAAGTACCCATTGCGACTACCTACGCAGTATGGCCGGCCGTCACCATCTCGTTCCCAGATACCCGTCTCCATCAACACATACGGCGTACAGAAGTTGTCGAGGTGTGTTGTCGACGACGACAGATGGTTCCTTTTCGCTCCAAAGCTAATGAATGTCTGTCTCTGTGGCACACCACCGCGGCAGACGGCTCAGAGAGCACAACGGATGGAAATGAGAGACCATTTCAGAGACAGATCTTGGCATCCCGCATCGGTGGGCAGAGACAACGAAGAAGGACTCACACCCCCCTCTCTCTGAGTCTCTTGAAAGTGTCGAGAAGGCTCGCAGTCGAAGGTCGAAAAACCGAGTCTGGAATGGGCGCTGTTTCGTGGCTCTACTACCCGGCGCCCTCAGGCCGAGCCCCTCCAGCCAGGTCAAGCAAGGCTAGTTCGTTTGGGTGCGTATCTTGCGCTAAATGAGGTATCCACGGAAGCAGAGGGGACAAGAGGGGATGGTGCAGACAGGCGAGGAGGAGGAGGAGGAGGAGCAACAAGAACGAGGGAAGAAGAAGAAGCCGCCTCTCGTCTGGTCTATGCACGCACACCACCCACACGCCCCATGGACAAGGCTCACGCCCACCACACACCCAAGTCGAGGTCTCCAGCAACCACCCTCCTCCCCACCACGCCCCCTTTCCGCTCGACGCACCCCTGACCCCTGCCGCAAGGTCGGCGTACGGTACGGTACCGCCTCTCACTCTGGCGTTGCTGCTGCCGCTGCCGCTTGCTCGCTCTCGTCGCTTTTGCTTGTTGCTCTGCCCTACGACCTCCGCCCCCTGGGCGTTTGGTCCCCTGTCATCTTTGGGGGTTCACCATCTGGAGGAGACTGATCCGCGTCGTCCACCGGGTCCCCAAGTGCCAACAGCAAGCAAGCCACGGCCGTCGAACCCATGTGCCCCCGGTCTGCAAGATGTGGTGGTCTCTTGTCTCTGCGTCTGTCTCTCTCTCTCTCTCTCTCTCTCTCTCTCGACAAGAGCGTAGCTCGCAGCCGGTCTATATCAGTCGTGAAGCCCCCAAGGCTCTTGGTGATTTGTTTCTCGCCCCCATCAGTCTCTACATCTATCTATCAGACCCAGATCTCCGGATACCCACGACACCAAGACGACGGTCCATCACCTAGTAGTCTTTCACACGTTCTCAAGAAAGACATCCTCCACCCAAACCGTCTCTTACTTCACTCTCGCCAGCAACAACTCTCTTCTTACTACACTTGGTTACTTGACGCGGCAAATATTCAGGAACCATATCCTCGGAGGCATACTACCGCGCGCAAAGTAAAGCTCAGAGAAAGACAGAGCGAGAAAGCATTCGCCAATCACTCAACGGCCCGGTACCTCACAACGCGGAAACGCCGCGGGCATGAACATCGCTGCAGGTGTGCTTCACCAGCCCCACATCCAAAGCAGGCGCAGCACAGCGCAGCAGCTTTTAGCAGGTCAAATAGTACAGACGACTGACAGCAGTGGGAAGAATAGCAGTGACGGCATAATACAAGGCAACTGTGTGGCTTTGCTTCGGACTGAGCGACAGCTACAGCAAACCAACCAACCAACCATATAACATCAACTCTGCGACTTCGCAACTCGGATTTGACCGAGAGGCCTTCCACAGATCATCACCCTTTACCTCTCTCTTCACCACATTACCATATACATACACACACACACACACACGTCTATCTCCTACAAAATGGCTTCGATAGACCAGTCATATACCATGCTCCCCAGGCACTTGAGCCCCCAGCACCACGACGACTACATTCTTTACCCTGAGCCACCACAGGGAGTCTTCAGCACAGCACCCATGGAGATGAGCATCCCTGCCGACGCCTCTTACTTGTTCCCAACCTCCATGGCAATGGATCACCAGCCCGCCCTCTACGACAACAACTTTATGTACCAAGGACGCACATCACCTGGCCTCTACGAGGACGCCGAGTTCCAACTGCCTTCTTCCAACCTTTCTACCGCATCAGCACCATCGGCGGCCTCCTCCAACGTAGGCTCGCCCCAATCACACAACGACCAGCCGGCGCCAATCCTCGACTGGGCGCACCCCGGCATCGCTGTGACCCCGGGCATCGTGCCCCACGACTACTACAACACCGCCGGTACAGAGTACTCGACCTACGCCGGCCCAGGTATGGAAGACTTTGCAACTTTCGAATTTGTAAACACCAAGCCCCCGGGTTTCGTGGGTGAGTTGCCAAACGCTTCTAGAACCACTCTTGCGCCCTCATCTCGCGCGCTTTCTTCTTTTCCTTCTGCTTCACACGAGTCAATTGGCTCTCATTCTTCCAACACAGCTATAGCTTCAGCTGTGCGCGTGCGCGACTCGGGCCCGGTGCTGGATACTCACTCGTCCTCCTCATCCCCTGTCACGCCCGCATCGCGCAAGTCAAGCTTGTCCTTTGTCTCTCCTAGCTCTACTTCCTTCTCTTCTCCTCCGGCGCCCGTCTGGGGCCACTCGCCAAAGACTCCTCGAGTCTCTACTTTCTTTTCTCAGAGCAGCGGCCATTTCGTCGCTCCTCTTGGTTCTTCTTGTTGGTTTTCCTCTGTCAAGCAGCAGCATCATCCTCCTTATCGCACATTGCCCGCTGACCACCTCTCCGCTCCAGACCCTTCTTTGATCCACCCCGACATCAGCCGCCCCATGATGGCCAACTTCCAGAACCCCAACCAGTATCCCACCTCGCCTGCCCTCTCGCCCTCATCACAGTCAATGTCAATGGTTCGTAACGGCAGTCAATCGCCCTTCCTCCACAGCGGTTTCCAACAGCAGCAGCAATTCAGCCCTTACGCTACTCCCGGTGACGCCCGCCGCCCCAGCCTTCACTCGTTCCCCTCAACCTACTCTGATGGCAACAACTACAGCGGCGATGAGGGCAAGGAGAAACAGAGATGCCCCCATCCCGAATGCGGCAAGGTCTTCAAAGACCTCAAGGCGCACATGCTCACTCACCAGACTGAGCGGCCGGAAAAGTGCCCGATTGTGACTTGCGACTACCACGTCAAGGGATTCGCTCGCAAGTACGACAAGAACCGCCATACCCTGACGCATTACAAGGGAACCATGGTGTGCGGTTTCTGCCCCGGCTCCGGTTCAGCGGCTGAGAAGTCGTTCAACCGCGCCGATGTCTTCAAGCGTCACTTGACAGCCGTCCACGGCGTCGAGCAGACACCACCCAACAGTCGCAAGAAGAGCAGCAGCGCCAACAGCGGCAAGAAGCTCGCGGGATACCCTCCCGATGCCACTGGCAAGTGTTCCACTTGCTCGCAGACCTTCTCCAACGCTCAGGACTTTTACGAGCACTTGGACGACTGTGTGCTGCGGATTGTGCAGCAGGAGGACCCTTCTGAGGCCATCAACGCTCAGCGCCTGGCCGAGGTTGAGAACGACAAGGAAGTGCACCAGACATTGGAGAAGAACCATCTGCCCACGCAGACGCAGATGCCCTCGAACGAGGAGGAGGAGGACGAGGAGATGATGGAGGACGATGACGAGGAAGACAGCAAGCAGCGCGTCAGCGCGTCGCCCAAGAGGAAGGGCAACCCGGTCAACGGTGTTCAAAAGTCGCGCGGCCTCACGCATTCCCGTGGAGGCGGCCCTATGCCTGTCAAGGCCAAGGGTCGCAAGAACAGACGCGACTACCCTTCTTCCTGGGGCTTCGACAAGGGCCAGATGACGATGAAGAAGCGGGTGATGGCAGTGTTTGATGGTCCTCGGCGATTGGCCAAGGACGACATGATGCTGTCGACGGATCACGAGGTGCGCATCAAGCTCACGGACGGCAACAACTACGTGACAGACCTCGACGTGCAGACGCTGAAGCGTGCCGAGGGCTTCCTTGGTGCGACGGATGAGGAGAAGGGACCCTGGATCTCTGACGATCCGACTGAGGAGCAGCTGCGGGAGATGCAGGCGATGCTTGAGAGCTGCCAGGCGGCTCAGTAATGGAAGGCGGCGGAGGACAATATCATCGGGATGCTTCATTTGTTTCTTTTTCATTCTTTTTTTTTTGGGCGGGAGCGATTTTGACGAGCGGAAAAAAAATCTCTACACTACATTTTGGTGTTGCATGGTTTGGCGCAGACTTGTACGGGACTACAACGACTGGCTTACGAGGACGGGATGGACATGAGGTTCATGATTGGACGGAATAAGTTCCATGTTGTTTGCACCTTGAAGAAAAAGGAGCATTTGATTGATACCCTATACTATATGATAGCCTAAGGCTCGATGGTATAAAACAAGAGACACTTGTCAACTCTCACTTTCACTGTCACTATTCCCGCTCTTCTCACTCGCCGTGATGAGTTACAACCGTGATGCCTCGGGTATAGATGGGGAATGATGCGATTTGGATAACGAATCCCGATCTGATTACTCCTCGGAAACAAGGGATGACGGAACAGGAACAGGACTGACGGTTTTGACAGCGCGACAGGGTCAGTGATTGGCAGCAAAGATCGGCAGCAATAGTGTCAAGCAAGGGAGTGTGGACGGGCTGTATGGGATGGATAGTCGTGCCGAAGACTCGCAGCGGTATTACCGGATCGGGGATGGTGATGGGGGTTTTGTTCTTTGGCCCTAAGATCCCTATCAGGCGTGTCAGACTGCCAGATTTATCACGAATCACGATGGGGTGGGTGCCTTGGTTCTTGTGCGACCTCATCAGCTAGTCTAACTAGCTGCTTTTTTCCCCCAAGTCCCCGAGATCCTAGAGTGCCAGGCAGCAAGAATAAACGGTTACTGGTGAGTGGTTGGTGGTTCCGAGTTCCGCGCTCTGCCGCGAGCGATGGAGGATGAGCCGATGAGGATGAGGATACTGGTGGCCGGTGGCCGGTGGTCGGCCTCTTTGGGTAGCCCGTACCCGTACCTGTGGCTGGCCAGAGAAGGGGGGGGGGGGGCCATGCTGACGGGATTCGGGATCGAGGGTGGTGGATGGACGGATGGTTGATGACGATGGGACGAAAATGTAAGGTACGGATTACGTTCGTTCGTGTTAGGGTACCTACGTAAGTAAGCATGATATGCTGTGGTGGGGAGGTATGATGAAGGAGGATGAGGATGACCCGAGGGAGGATCAAAATAGCCATGCATAAGTGGCATGCGCATGTTGTGGCCGCAGTCTACCTATTGTCGGTGTGTGTGTGTATGGTTGTACTACTAATTACAAGCATTTTGCACATTGGAGAGAGTAACTTTGGAAAACTCAATGGACGAAAGAGAGTGTGTGTATGGTTGGATCTGGGGCAGAGAAGGGATCTGGTTTGCGGATGCGGATGCGAGTGGACGGCACAGGGCGGCACAGCCACTGCACTGCACTACCTCTATCTTTTTTTTTTTGGTCTCCTCTGTTAGTGGGAGGTTCCCTGGCGGTAGTGGTGGTGGTGGTGGTGGTGATGACGGAGAGAGAGAGGGAGAGGGAGCCCAGAGGAGGGGTGGAGCGGAAAACTGTTGTCGAGATGCGGGTTCCTGCGAGCCCACTAGTAGTGCTAAGCTTCGGCTACGGGGGGGGGGGGACCACTCTGCAGTCTGCAGCGATTTGTTTGCACAGCCACCTGCGCTTAGGTTCCCTCCACTGATACCTACGGTCCACTGGAAGAAAGGACGGAGACACAGAAAAAGGGACCCCGCTGACGACGATTTTCTCCGGCACTGTGGTCCCTGAAGAGGCCCCCAACGCACCGACCGAAGGACAGCCCAGGCGGGAAACCTACCACAGTACATGGAGGAAAAAACATCGTGGCCAGTGTGGCTGTGTCGCGGCAGCATCCGCGCCGTGGTAATTGTTTTCCTCTGCCCCGGGGGGCAAGTCCCAGGGATTCCAGGCTCCAAGCTCCAGGTTCGTACCTTGCAGAGCATCCCAGAGATGAGGTTTGAAGTAAAGTAGCGTACCATACTACGTACACGCTTACTGCGTAAGGATACCACTATACGGGTACGGAGTAGTAGTGTATATGTGCACTACTATCACCGACCTGGATGATCCTGATGGTTCTCTCCAGGGAAGCTCCCACTCTCACGATCAACCCTGCCATCCGACTATTAACACATTTACCTTACCTTACAAACTTACATAAGAAACCACCTCATGGGCAGGTTATGTCAACTCCTAATGGGCAACGGTGCCCCTGTGCCGTGGTGCGCGTCCACGTCCTCTACGCCTCCCCCCGTCCCATCTCTTGCAGTCTTTCATGCCGTGGCGTCGTGAGGCTCAACACCTTGTTTTTTCTCATCCCACATCACTGACATCAGACGCGGACGCGGACGCAGACGCAAGTGCGGTTCCTTGCGGCTCTGATGGCTGTGCGTCCTGTGTAGTGTATGCGTACCCCTTCTTCCTCTTCTTCTTCCTCTCGTCGGTGCCACCGCGAGGACATCTTTTCGGCATTGACAGACGCCACATCTCTTTCGTCCCATCTTTCGAAAATTGACGTGTTCCCTGTTTCATGGCGGTGTCGTTCCCGGTCTTTTTTTTTTCTGTCGTTGGGGTTTTTTCGCTGATTCGGACTCGCTGTGCACGATGCCGCCTGACCAGTGACTGAGGGAAGGTGTACGTTGTTAGGTATCCGTAGCGCAACTCGGTGGATGGCGGGGCAATTCGACTACCCCGCCACGCGCCGTTTGACCTCCTCCTGGCCTTGCGCGCGCACACACCGAAAAAGACGACAATTTTTCCCCGTTTACCCAAGTCTTTTTTTTGCATTACGCATACCCTAACGCCACTGCGCTTCGACGATAGCGCTCTACTCGCGGCAGGTAACACGCTGTCAAACTCGTCCTCGTCGTCGTCGTCGTACTCGCTTTCGTTCGCTTCGGTGTCTCGCCGTCCTTGGATCCCCGGCGTCTCGACTGCCCACCCTCCTCCTCCTCCTCCTTCGACTTCCCGGGCCCCCGGCGCTCTTTCTCCGTTCCTATCCGTCAATAATGGCGCTCACATCCCGCATCTCCCTGACCGGCCCGCCCGCCGAGTCCCCCGAGGACTACCTCATGTCCTCCCTCGGCGTAATCTTCCCCGACGACGTCACAAACCAACACGGCGACGCCGTAAACGGCATCGAATACACCTCCCCGCACCTACGCCGTCCCCTGACCTTTGAGCTCGCCGAGCCCGACGCCGCCGACGACCGCAAGCTCTTCAGCCACTACCTCTGGAACTCGAGCCTCCAGCTCGGCGAGTTCGTCGAGGCCGGCACCTTGGGTATCGACACCGCCGTGCCCGTCCGTCTCGGGCCCCCACTATCGCACTTTGACGTCCGCGGCAAGACAACCCTCGAGTTGGGCGCCGGCACCGCCCTGCCGAGCATCATGTCCGCCCTCCTCGGCGCGGAACGCACTGTGCTGACGGATTACCCCGCCCCGGCCGTCATGAAGTCCCTCCGCCTCAACGCCACGCGCAACATCGTCCCCGCCGTCTCCCCCACGGGCGCCCTCACGGCCCGCGAGGTCCTGGTCGAGGGACACTCGTGGGGCGAGCTCGACGATCCGTTTTCCATCGCCAACAAGCACGCTTTCGATCGGCTATTCGTCGCAGACTGCCTCTGGATGCCCTGGCAGCACGCCAATTTGCAAAAGTCCATTGCCTGGTTCATGCGAGAAGGCTCCGAGTCCCGGTGCTGGGTCGTGGCCGGATTTCACACGGGACGGCCCAAGATGCGCGGCTTCTTTGAGGAGGCGAGCCTGGCGGACGCCGGGCTCGAGGTCGAGTCCATTTGGGAGCGGGACTGCGACGGCGAGGAGCGGGAGTGGGCTTGGGACCGCGGTATCGAGGACGTGACGATCCGAAAGAGGTGGTTGACTATTGCGGTGCTTAAACGCAAGGCTGCCGCGTGAAGGGAAAGAAGAACAAAAAGAATAAAATATACATAATATGGTGGCCACAGACAAGCGGTCACGGTCAGTGGACAACAGGAACCACGACATGGGTGGGGTTTTGACTTATAAGGACCATTGGTGCGGACCTTGACACTCCGCTCTGTCTCTCTTGATGCTGAGACATTCAACGACATCATTTCTCGATTCAGCTCTAGGCTCTTGGGCTCTAGGCTCTAGGCCCCATCCGAGGTCCCGCTCCATTCTCCGGGGGAACTTTTGCCTTTTTGCTTTCCCTCGACAGCTCACTTGGGTACTCTCATCTCCTCTGAGAAAGGTGGCTGAAGGGGGCAAAGTTAGCGCCCGGGACGAAGATGATGGCGATGAATTTGTTTCGCCCGCAATCAGCTGTTCACGTGCTCATGGCATGAACAACAGAGGAGCAGGAGCAGGAGCAGAAAGCAGGGAAACAGGAGGAAGAAGAAGAGGAGTACCTTTGCTATGCCCGGGTACCAGGCCCGGTGCGGCTGAAAACTCAAGCCCTCGAAGCTCAGAGGTGCGCCTACGGCCCTACGGGTACGGGTTCTCTCCTATTCCAGCTGAGCTGAGCCTGATCTACGACTCTTGATTGGTTCGATCTTAGACATTGTGGCTGGGCCCTAGATCTTTGCTGGGGGAGGAACTTTTGGTTTTGAGGCACGGCGCTTTGGAATCATTGAAACCGTCGTCGTCGTTGCCGTTCTCCTACTGAGTTTTTCTTCCCTAGACAGCCAGACTTCTGTTGATGGGGTAAACTCCTTCGGGCGTTAGCCGACCTGGCCAGATGCAGTATTTGAGTTTGCTGTCCACAGTCAATGGCCAGGAGAAAGGTTATGAGTGGGAGAATCGTAGGACGAGGACCCGGAGGGGAATCCTACTAGAACTAGAACCAGAGCTAGGGACGGAGTTTGGTCCGAAAGGGGGGCCCGGCCTGTCAATAGAACTTGAGCCCCCTTTGAAGCTATCCACGCGCCAGCATTGAATCTACCTACATCAATTATTGAATTCTTGTCCCATCATTTTGTCTTACGGAGCATCCGTACTTCCTCACCTATTCGCAGCATCGTAATCAACTCTTTCATCACAACCAGCTTTCC